ACACTGAAACACTGCTGGAAAGTAACTAAGCACATTTAAATTATTATCAGTTAAGATAAAGATACAACTTTATTGATCCTTTGGTGATATTCAAAATCTTGCCAGCAGTATATATTGTAATACATAAGAAAACTGACATGTAGGCATTGAGAATAAATAGGTATTCATGATTATAATACATTATGACATTATATTGCTTTCACTTTATGTAATGTAGTCATATTCTGATGCTTTTTATTTAAGAGTTTTGGAAGAAATTCCAGCACTGACTTAGACGATGATAGGATAAACATTAGCGTTTTTAAAGACTTATGCAGAGATTTCTTTTGGAAATATTTTCAGATCTTAGTTTGTTAAATTATAGTTGCCATCTGTCCGTCTTACCTTGGGAGGCATGTAGCACGCGTCGTGAATCACCACAGGACTGGTGAAGTGTTCATGCAGGTGGTCCACATATTCACACATTCTAGAAAGAGATGGGGAGGAAAAATAGTGCCGATTATAAATGAATGATCACTTACAGTCAAGAGCTCTTAATTGTGACAGAAGCAAAGCCTGCTATTACCGATTGCTGAGGCTTGCAGACACACAGATGTAGTCGAACAGAATCAGATGCTGGACGAGTTCACAGAGACCGACGCCTCCAGCATGAGGACACACAGGCACTATGGGAAAAACATAGTATGTGTAATGTAGCCATGCTTTTCATACAGATATCACACTAAGAATATGCTGAATACACATATTAGAAATCCTTTTAATAAAAAAGTAAAAATGTAGTTCATAGTTTTCCATTGACCTCCAATCAGATGGTAGAAAACGTTATATTTTTTACATATCTAATAACCTTTTACTTCTTTTTGGCACATTTCAGACTCTTTAAATCTTCATATTGTCTTTTTTAGGGCTACATATATGATTATTTGGGAATGAATGTCTTTGTTTATACCCTGGAACTTGTGGGCCATCAGCAGCACTGCCAGGTTCTCGTTGACACTGCCCAGCCGACAGCAGTCTATCTGGACAAACTGCAGGGCCGAGGCCTGGAGGAACTGTTTAAACATCACCCTGTTGTGACACTGCAGAGGAAACAGTTACCAACTAACCATCAATTCATCAGCCGGTGGTATGTACACTGGAACAAACACTGACCTGCTCTCCTGTCGCCACTCCGATCCCGAGAGGAGCCAAAGCCTGAAGCGACAGAACATCTTTTATCAGTCTTTTACATAAATAGATTAGTGATCAGGCCAACTGGGCACAGGCCCAGGGGTCCAGGCAGGCAACGGGACAAAAAAAACAAATACAAAAAGAAGAAACATGACTTCTAAAATGAAATAAAAAAAGACAAACGGACACATTACAACCACAAGGGGATGCAAACGTGAACAAAAAAACCCCACTATGTGACAAAATGACCAAAAAGAGAATGAATGGCCACAAATAGATGCAGAAGGCACACACACACAACATTAAATACCACAATCAGACACAAAGAACCACAGAGAAGGATTTTGTCTCTTTCTCCATATGGGTGACTGTGTTTAGTGTGAGTGTGTTCTCTCTCACCTTGGAGATAGCAGCGTGACCCAGGATGTCATCAGGAGACGTGGGCTCCTCGATCCAGAGAGGTTTAAACTCCGCCAGGCTGGACACCCAGCTGATGGCCTCGGCTACATCCCACCTCTGGTTGGCATCAATCATCTGAATGCAAAAACACACATAACTAGTACACTTGTGTCTAATGTAAATACAATTGGTTAGGGGAAACCAACATTACCAAAGTGTTTTCCGGCCCAATCATTTTCCTTATAAGGCGGCACCGGCGTATGTCGTCCTGTAGATCAGCGCCTACTTTCACCTTGAATTTAGTCCAACCACTTTTAAGAGCATCTGTGCAGAGCTTGAAAAACACACAACTGTCATTGTCACTGTTATTTTCATGATTTGTTAAACCTGAGATATTATTGGTATAGAGACCTGTTGGAGCTGCTGGTCTGGGTAGTTGAGCCATGCACAGGAAGTGGTGTAAGCAGGATAACCCTCTTTCAGCATTTCCTCCTCTGGGGGGCGAGAGAAGCACACAGTTAATATACACCTGAGGAGAAGTGTGTTTTAATAGAGCGACCATGAAGTGCAGGGACCTATTATGCATGCTTAAAGCACTCCTGGTAGTTTCTAAAGAGGCAATTTCGCTCTGCAAAATCCCATTCAGCCATGTAATTAATGACTCTTGATAGTGTGCTCACCTCTGTGCTGCTTGTCCTCTTGTGCTTTCACGAGTATGTCTGAAAAGAGAAGCAGATAGAGTGTTGCCTTCACTACAGTGCACTCAGGAAAAGAGATTTATTTTCTGGATCAGTCTCACCTAGAGCCTCCTCCTCTGTAAGAGCGTCAGTGATGTATCTGAAGTCAATGCATGAGATAACCTGCTTGGGATTCTAAATTGACACATATAAATCATGATATTTCCCTTGTGGTCACATCCTGGACGTAAATCAAATTTCCCATGACTCACCATATCAACAAGAAGCTTCCACAGTGGCTGCAGGAAAAAAACACCATGAGTCAGGAGGCTTGTGAAGGAAAATGAGTTTTTCTAATCATGACTCATCAAAAAAGTTCTGACCTTGCCCTCTGCCCTTGCCCACAGGTCCCACACAGCATTCAGGACTGCAGCTGTGGCCAGGTGGATCACTCCTTTCTCTGGGCCTAGCTGGATAACACAACCGTTTTTAACATTACATGGGTTGTGCATCGAAATTGGGGTAAAAAATTGTGCATATTGGGGAAAAACTAAAAGCTCAATTAAAACCTGTGAATGAATGATGTAGTTAGAGAGTTATGTTGTTTTTTCTAAGTATACTATCATTACCCAGGCCTTTGGGACCTTCACACACTAGATTCTTATAAATTGATATTCTTTGTATCCAAAGAGCCCATTCTACTTGACTGTCAGTCAGCACTCTTAACCAGGACATTGGGACCTTCAGAAAGTAGATGTTTTCTACCGAACCGGCCCCGAAACACCGTTGGTGTGAATGGGGTATATTTGATACCCTTTGCACTCATTATGAATCAATTTTATTTTTATTTCAAAGAGCCTCTTCTTTATATTACTTTTTGAAAAGCCTGGATTTGGCACATGTATTTGCCTTGGCCCATCAGTCTTGATCAGGACTTGAGGACATTTAGAAACTAGATTCAAGTACATGCAAGTCTTTTCAATATCATATGTAAAAAAACAGTTCACACATTTATTTACATTTTATTTTGCAGTGCTTGAGTCCCTGTTCTCACCCATCTCATCTGGCTATCACTGGTCAGGAGGCGGTAGAATCCACGGAAGTCACTCACAATCCCCTGCAAGGATTTCCCAACAACCAGTCCAGCTAGAGCCTCCACAGCACACACCACTGCGGGGATATAATAAAACAGAATTCAGACTCTAAACAGGAGAAGAGCAAAAGAAAGCCAAACTTCAAATGTACAATTTTTACACTGTGCTCATCTTTGAACAGACTAAAATTGGTTGTATTGTTTAATAAACATTACCACAAGGTGGCAGTGTTTGGTTCAACTTTGCACACATCAAGACAGAAAATGTAACATTTGATTATTAAGAAGTTTATTTATCACCATGGTCTTAACTATTATGTTTGTTTTATGTAGCTGGAAGAGCTACGAGAAAGATTTATTCTGAATAATGTGTATGTAGGCAGGCCAATAACTTTTTATTAATAAAATAGTAGCCTAGCATTTTAGCATTAACTAAAATATATACTGTAATATTGGAACTTGAAAGAAGTGGTATTTCAATACAAGGAAACAAATTCAGAGTTTATTAGTAGCCCTTGGATGTAAGAGTAACCAAAAGGTAGTAACATTTTTTTTTTTTTTTTAATTGATGGAGTAACCTAACTAAGAGACATAATTTATTAAATCTTTCATATTGTGTTCAACAATAACTGAACAGCATTTAACAACTGTGCTATGTTATTGTATTGTTGCATTTTCATAGCACGTTGTATTGCAACTTTACACAACAGGCACTTTATAATTAGTTTAACTGTTAAATTAATAAAAAAAATGAGTATGATGAAAAATAGTGATTTCGATGAATTTTTAGCTGATTATTTCCTGTGAGTAATGCATTTCAATCCATTGAATCAAACATAAACTAGCTTCTTTAAGCTTGGCAATTCCTTTATTATTTTTTGTATGTGTTTAAACTGCTTACTTTGCTAATGCAGGACAAGGCCATTTACCATGTCCTTTATTTTAATAACAACAAAAAAAACTTTAAAAATAATAATTAAATTCCTTTTTTTTTATAGAATTGTATGAAAGGTTGAGATATAAGCCAACTGTTAATAATTTATATATTTAAACGTTTTACTCGGTTTGAATGACTCACGACCCCATTTTAAACTTTGGCGAACCCTAGTGGAGGTCGGGACCCCTATGTTGGAAACCAGTGATAGTGGGCTACATATCGTGTTTTGGTATTTAAAGAAGCTACATTGTGTTTCTGGTAAATCTTACCAATCTCCGTGCCTTTCCCCAGAGTGAAAGTGAGGCCGAAGCCCTTCAACCCGCAGTCCGTGTCGATGACCACATAAGCGGCGGAATAATCCGGGTCTGTGTGCTTCACAGCGGATAGTTAGTCCATGCCAATGTAACAGAAATATAGCACACTGCACTACAGCTGCACACACTTCCTTACCATTGCATCGGAGCCGTGTTGCTCCAAAGACGTCGGAAATCTCACATCCCTGACCGTCAAACTGATAATTGTGTGCAACATTTTCCCACTGGGTTTACATTAGTCTTGTGATTCAGTCAACGTTAGAGTGTTTATTTCAAAGTGACCTGTGATCTGTAGAAGTTGATCCCACCCACCTCAGCCTGCAATTGGTTTAAACCATAGACATACCCACCTGACACTTAAAGAGACATATCAAACATGTAATAATTAAAAAAAGAACACTGGACTTTGTAAAATCACGTATTTATTGTACAAATACCTCTCCACCCACAACCTCCCTCCCAAATATAATTTGCAATCATGTCCATTTTCTTAATAATCTTACAAAATGAGGATTGTATAATACAAAGCCCTTCTTTACAAGCTCATTCATCAATTAGTGTTAAACCCCCTTATAATACTGCCCCAAAGAGTCAATACAGGAACCAAATGCAAAGATAAAAGGACTGTAAAAAACTGTCGACATTGCTATACAAAGTTTCTGCAGAGCCACCTTAGATACATGAGCAGGAAAGAGTCCCAAGTGCTTAATTCAGTCACATTGTAGAAGATAAAAAAATGTCCAACCAGTTTATATGGTGGCTGTGTTCATGAAATGTCATTGTGGCTTGGCAAGAAGCCGCAAGTCCACGAAGTTCATCACTGTTTAACTCACTGACACACACTGTTTTTATGTAAGTGTGTGTCTGTCGTGATTGCAGTCAGATTATACAACCAGGGCAGCGATGAACACAAAGAATTATGGCAATGTTATAAAAAGTCTTAGCAGAGATTTCGGCACGATGATGGACAGTCGGGAAAGTCTTCCAATGAAGCAATAAAACCATGTCCATGTGATATGAATAAAATGTGATAATTCATGTGATAAAAAGAAAATACTAAGGAAAATGATATAAAAAGCAAAATGTTCGAAATTCATAAAATATCATGTCACAGATAAACACTCAAAAATTGCACTGTAGCTGATGAAATGTAATTAAAGTTAAGCTGTATGGGATTTAATCACTGTAAATGGACTGTGATAATGACCATCAGTCCCCTGAGAGCTGCTCTCTATTAGTTTAATATATTATCTCTGTTAATAATTAATCGTTCCAATGCATAATTTACCAATTTACTACAAAAGAATACAATTTGGGGGTGAGTGGAGTTTGAAAGCTCCACATTAAACCACATAGAGGCCAACAAAACATAATAGTACCATGAATGAAATCAAAAAAATATGAAATGATGGCGGACGCTGAAAGCAAAAGAGAAAGAAAAAATCAAGAACAAGTAGTGGTTAATGCAACTGGTTATCCTGGATTCCAGTTGACTTTGTGAAGTTCAATATTTAAGAGCTCACGTCTTCAAGCAAGTGTGCTTCGAGGCGTTTCAGAGTGAAGGCAGGCTATAGGTTCTCTCCAGGTTGGTACTGAGGCTCTGTGGAGGTGAAATAGTCCTCCAGGAAGGACTGCAGGTACTCGAAGGTGGGCCTCTCGTCGGGGTCCTTCTTCCAGCAGTGCTTCATCATCTCGTGCAGGGACTCGGGGCAGCCCTGGGGACAGGGCATGCGGTAGCCGCGCTCCACCTGCTCCAGCACCTCGCGGTTCACCATGCCTGAGAGGGAGACGGGAGGTAGAAAGGACTGTCAGAGCTCTCTTTTCGGAGAGGGGTTAATCATTTCTTAGTATAAGGAATGTTAAAAAAGGTGAAAATGGACAGTGAAAGAGTGATTAAAAACAGCAGCTATTTAGCATTTTTCTTCTTGAGAAATGGTGATCAGATTTGTTCATTGAATTCTAAGTTAGAGGACACCAGGAGACTGTTGGCTTAAATTATCATAGAGACTGAAACAGCTAGCCTGACTGTGACTGACAGTAACAAAACCCACCTGCATCCCTAAAGCTCATTGTTGTTGTTTTGAATGTGCATAGATACATTGGTGTATTGATGTCCTCATATAACATTACTGCAATAAATCTTATAGGAGTGTTTCCCAAAATGTCAAAATTGTACATAGAGTTACAAACACCAATACAGTTTTGTTGTTTTTGGCAAGATCTTTGGCACTAAGTAGTATTTGCAGAAGTGTTTTTGGATCTCACTTCTCAGAAAGCGTTTGTGGGTTTTTTGTGGGAATACCAAAGGTACCCAGTTTGTAAAATTACCAATATTACATACCTTCATCAGTCACTGAATAGACGTTTATCCAAATGAGAATTTAGAGATTATTTCTGTCTAAATCGATCAATATTTAAAAAATTGATTTCCGTAAGTACACTAATCAATTCATTGTGCCAGTGCTACATCTAATAGAACGTGGAGCCGTGCAAAGGTGGTGCAGCAGACTGCACACTGCTCCCCAGGGCAGTGTCAATCTGGCAGATGGTTATAAACAAGAGTGGTGTTCAATCTCCTGATCGTCCTCCACCAGATGGTCTCATCTAATCTGTGTGTGTGTGTGTGTTCCCCCTGCAGAGGCATAAACAACCAGTGCAGACAATGTCAGACGCCGTCACTCCAGCCTCAGACATTAACCGACAGACTGAACGCTGATATCCCCGCCCTCTGACGCTGCCCTGCGGATGTTTTCTCGTCCTGTGTGTGTATGAGCGTGTCACTGTCACTTACCTGGGTAGGGCACTCTGCCTTTGGTGACGAGCTCGGTGAGAAGGATCCCAAAGGACCACACGTCTGATTTGATGGTGAAGCGGCCGTACAGCGCAGCCTCTGGGGCCGTCCATTTAATGGGGAATTTGGCTCCTGTGACGTGATGGAGAGGAGAGGGGTGAGGTGATTCCACTAGAGGGCGTATGCCTCCATGTCTGGCTCTATTTTCAGTTATTAACAATGGCCATAGTGACCAACAATAGGCCTTTCTCACAGCAGAGAGACTTGTCATAGAAGGAAAAGCAGTGAGGCACAGGTGTTACTAATAACACTAACGAGGGCTTGAAATGAGAGCAGCTAAATGGAATTCAGCAGTAATTCATTTAAGTATTTACACCTGTGCTTTTCCTGATGGAACAAGTCAAATATTATCTCTTACAGTATAAAAGCAAATTAGATCATAAAGACCATATTATTTTCTGTCCTCTATTTAGCTTGTAAATATTAGAATCTCAAATTAGAATGTTCAAGGGATAGGTAAAGGATATATTTAAGATGTGTTAATGTGTTTTATCCCTTAAATGGGCATTCAATATTTGGGAAAATTAATAGAAAAAGTCCTTAGATTTGGCTTTTGTTTGCCCCAAGTTCTTGGAAATGTATATTTGTCATTATTTAAAGGCAAAAGACGAGTAATGGAACATGTATGCGCTAGATGCAGTAGATTCATAAAATATTATACATCCCTTCCTCACGAGTAACAATTTGATATATTTACAAAGGTGTGGAAGGAAAATTGGGTTAATGCAATAAATGGTTGAGTCTCTTATTTCCAGAAAACATATTTTGCTAATGCTACCACAAGTCTTGCAGTAAACAGTTTTGATTTGTTCTACTGAAGATACAGTCCTTATGTAAATTCACCAACATGTGAGGATGAATCAAAGTAAAACTGGGATTGGAAGTTGCTACTGCTAAATATTTAAAACGGAACTTTTTCAAAGCTTTAGCACAAACAACATGACATTAATTCCCCCCTGTTGAACATTCAGTTACATGCTGAACATCAGCAAGTAAACATCATTTTTAGCATTGAATAGCTGTCGTCTATTTTGCTACTTCCCCTGAGATGCTTGCATGGCTGTAGACTCAATAGGTATATTATGTTTTATGACAGCTGTCCATTAATACTTTGTATTTACTTTGATTGTTCCACTCTCTGTCATTTACTGTGGGTATAAACTGCAAATAACTGGCATTGATCAAACAAAAGTGCTATCCTCTTTGGTTTTGGTTGTGTAACGGTTGAGAACTTCCTTTTGTGCGATAAATCGAGCCTTCATTTTCTCAAGAGATCATACCCAATTGCATAATGAAAGCAAGGCTCATAGGGATTATTAGGGATAAGGGACCCTGATGTTGTCATTACTCTATAGCCATTACATAGTGCAATCCAAATGTACTTGATAATGAGAACTGAAAAACCTTTTAAAAAGCAGAAATAGCAGCGAGATGAATTCTCCCAGTGTGTGAAAAGCGCAACTAATCAGACGCAGCAGGAGCATCTGGTTTGCACTATTATGCTAATTCACCATGATAGGAGACAACAGGGGTTCATCTTTGTCTCTCTATGTGTGTTTATGTGTTTGTTTACCCACCTTGCCTGGCTGTGTACTCATTGTCCTCTATCAACCTGGCCAGACCAAAGTCAGCGATCTTGCACACCAGGTTGTCGGCCACCAGAATGTTAGCGGCGCGCAGGTCCCTGTGGATGTAGTTCATCCTCTCAATGAAAGCCATTCCATCAGCGATCTTTAAATAAATAAAAAATGGAAAGCGTGTCATGATGGCTGTTATTTAGCTCCCAAAACATCAAGCCCTGCTCTGTCAGGCATAAAGAGTCGGGATCTATTAATGAAAGAACAAAAGCAAACTGAGGAAGACATGTTTACCCGAGGCTGCTGCTCTTCAGAGGCTTAAAATAGAACGCTAAACTTAACATTCACTGACACAAATTTCGCAAACGAGAAACGAAAAGTATATATCTCTCACCTGTGCAGCCATGTCCACCAACAAGGGGAGCTTCAGGAATTTACCGTCGCCCTCTTTGAGGTAGTCGAGAAAGCTTCCTGTAAAAAAACAACGACAGTGAGAAGTCGTAAATGCAGTACAGCCATGATATATACTGTAGGAGCAATAAAAGGCCCGCAATACCAGTTGCATAACATTGTGCTGCTGTGGGGAATGTTCGTATTTAAATGAATTCCTAGATCCTTACTAGACCAGGTTAGAATTTAAAGTGAATATCTAAGTAAGCATGATTTAATTGGTATGTGATTTGGTGTATTTTCTGCATTAAGGAAACTGTGAAAAATACTACAGCTCAGATCAAACCAAACAGTATATCAACAAACTGTAGGCATTTAGACATGCATGCAGACAGAAAGGCATGTCAAAGAGTGAACATTTACACACGCATTAATCTAAAAAAAACAAGCATTGCAGCGGAAGCAATAAAACAAATCCCACTGAACTACTGCAGCTTTCAATTAAACATCCTAGTTGCAGGCCTCAGGGAACCACAAGGGACCTTCAAGGACTTTCAATCTGTGCAGCACATTAATTAAGACATCCATAAAATCTACATTTTTCCTTGAAGGAAATCTCCATGTTTAAATCTGACTTGTGTTAAACCAAGGCTGTGTGATCAGTTTTGTGCCTGAAAAGTCTCTAGGCTAAGATGATGCTTTGCTTTTCTGTAAAAATAGATCGCATCAGTGTCATGTAACAGGAAATAGCTGAGTCTTGTTATTCCCCAGGGTTGAGAGTTCTGAGAAATTCAATTTAATTGCTAATCATAAATTCCAGTCAGCAGCTTATAAAATCAGGTTTATATTAGATGTACCTTTGGCCATGTACTCTGTGACGATGTAGATGGGTTCTTCGGACACCACGGCATACAGAGGCACCAGTTTGTCGTGCCGGAGCTTCTTCATGATCTGAGCCTCTTGGAGGAAGGCCTCAGGTGACATTGTGCCCGGCTTCAGCGTCTTTATGGCCACCTTAGTGGTGCCGTTCCACGTGCCTGGAAGACAAAGATAGGGGAGAGAACGCCCACAGGTCGCAGGGGTAATCAGTGTTGTTAATGGGATGGGAGCGAGACGTATCATTAATTAGGTCTTGTAATTGCTCAGACATGTGCTGTCATGCATGCACTCCCCGATGAAATGGGATGCCTGGGATGAGCTGAGTTACAAAAAAAAAAAAAAGGAAGGTACAAATAAGATTGGCTGGAGCTGAGTGAGATGATCTCTGGAGATAAAGAGAATTCAACAAACAGAGGAAGCAACTGCAGGAAGTGAATTATTCCCAGGAATGGACAAAAATAGACACAATAAATATAGACATCGGAGGGTTTGTGTGTGTGATTTATGCGCATAATCTTTGCATTTCCTACATTACACCATTGTTGTTGTTATAATATAAATATATAATGTTATTATACAATTTAACAAGGTCGATTACCAGCTGCTACTTGTTTTTAAATGGCTTTATACTGTATCAACCACATGCAATAAATACAGTTACTATTTATTACTTTTACCTGGCTGCTACTCGATTACTTTTATTTGTGTCAGTTACTCAGTGGTTGAATGTGCTAAAGTACATCTACTTAAGTACTTTAGGACACATTTCAGGTACATCTACAGTACCTGAGTATATTAATTGTATGCTAATTCCCCAAAAAAAGCAATATGGTACTTTTTAACTTCATTTATATCAAATGTTTTAGTTACTCGTCATTTTATAGATTCAGATTATTAGCTAATTAACCATATTCATTAACTAATACAAAATATTGACATCATTTTAGGTTAAGATATCATAATGAAGAAATTCAATTTATATATAATTCTGAAATGGGCTATTACCATAGACTGTATATATAAAGGCTATTACACACAATAACTACTCTTACTTCTGTTACTTAAATATATTTTGATTACTTTTGTACCTTTACTTTCAATACAGTACTTCTTACTTGTAACAGAGTAATTTTACAACTTGGTATTGCTAATTTTACTTAACTGAGTACTTTTTCCACCAATGCACTTACTTTAATAATTACATGTTTCTACCTTGGATGTGTACGTATTTGATTCTTATTTTATTAACGAGTGCTTGCCTCTTTATTTAATATCTTGGTTTACTCACTGATTTTGATTCTTATGTATCTGGGCTGCCTTGGAATTTCAACATGTAGGTAGTTACGATTAAAAAACTGCATGAGGCAATAAAGCATTCTCTGAACGTGTTCCTGCGTGTCTCGTCTGCGTTGCTCTTACCCATCCAGACCTCTCCGAAGCAGCCCTGGCCCAGCTTGAGCTCCAGTCTCAGGGACTCCCGGGGGATCTCCCAGGCATCTTTAGCCAGCCCCTGGGTCTGAGGCTTGACTGTCGGGCAGACCGCGGTCAGCCTGTGGCAAAGCCCGTCAGCGTGCTCTGTGAAGATTACAACGCTACATTACACCCAGCAGCGACACACACACAGATACACACACCCACATGAACCAGCAGGGTACAGCGTTTTAAAGGCAATCTGTTTCATGCATCGATTCATTCCATTTGATGTGGATGAATACATGTTCTTACACTTACTTTGATGAAATATAAATGAGGGGATTTTTACAACACTGATACCCTCTCCAGAGTCAGACGAGAAATGAATAGGGTAAATAGAGATTTAACCTCAACTCTCCTCATGCAAGGTTTAAAATCCTAACTGCTCCAACAATAGTTATTAAAATTAAACATGACTAAACATCTCTCTGATGGCTTTTGCAGGTGGCTCAGGATAATGCATGGTGGCACAGAGCAGCAGGTGTGACTGAGAGTCATTTTCAGGAGGAAAACAGGTAAATGAGAGAAGACAGAGAATCCAGTGCAAGCTACATACCTGTGTAGTGCTTGACAAGCTTCTGTAGTGTGTCAAACTGTGCCCGGGTAGTGATGTAGTATCCTCCGCTGTCAAGCTTGCGGATCTTGTAGTGTTTCACATTGTCCCCTTTGGTTTCATCCCAGTCTCGTATGGAGAGAGAATAAGCACCTAGAGGAGACGAGGGAAATGTCCTTCAACATTCAAAACAAAAGTGTCAAGTGTGGTTACTATAAAATATAGTATTTTTTTAATTAAGCCTTCTCCAGATCCATATATTAACTTTACAGGTGCTGAATAAAGAAACACACTTAAGGTAGAGCAGAACACATTGCACTTATGGTTACCAATGTCTGAGAATAATACATTTAGATTACATTTTTACTCTTGTAAATAAAATGTAATGGAAGCTAACAGAACAGGTTTTCTGTACACTTAATACTGCTTGTTGGTCATTTACTCTTGTCTATCTAGCACAAATATCAGTACTAGCATCATATTAGCATTTTCGTTTAGCTTGTTAGCATGCTAACATTAGCTTTAAGCAAATTCAGCATTCAAAACCTTCACAAAGCAGCTTGCATTGCTTTAGACACTTGTTTTTGTGTCTTCTTTGTTCCTTTTAACTCCCATATCTTCTGTCTTTGTTTTCATGAACAGTGCCACACAAAACAAAGTTTGCTTGCTTGTCAGACAACATTTTACAAAACATGTGATATCAGCTGTCGTTGCTTAGAGAAAGCCGGTCAGAAGAGCTTTGTTTTTGCATTTAGGAAAGGGGTAAATGTATCATCATGTTCATATTTAGCACAATCTGTAGTAACACAGTTTTTAGCTGGATGCTTCATACTAACTTTTTTGCCCTTTTAATCAAAGAACCAGACATTTTCTGATGCAGTTAGATGAAGAAGAATCGGAGCGATGAAAACCCTCTTTAATGGTCACACATGCAGAGCACACAGCACACACAGTGAAATTTGGCCTCTGCATTGAACCCATCCTAATACCAGGAGTCTAGTACTATGAGCAGTGGGCAGCTATTGTACAGCGCCCGGGGAGCAATGGGAGTGGGGGGGGAAGGGGGTTGTCCAGTGCCTTGATCAAGGGCACCACGGCAGGGCCCAGGAGGTGAACTGGGACCTTTCCAAGTAGCAGTCAACACTCCATATTTAGGTCTGTTCGGGGACTTGAACCGGCGACCCTACGGCTCGCAGTCCAAGCCCCTACTGACTGAGCCACTGCCGGACTGTAGCGATGATTAAAACAGGAGTGTGTTGTGTCCATTCCAGCTTAAAGTACTCCTACTTCACCCAAGCTCCATTTCTCCAAGCAATTTCCACAATACTTAATAAAGAAGCTATCTTAACCTTTAGTAGTTTCACTTTCTCGTGCCAGGAAAGTTCCTCGTTGGTTTCCTGTATTCAGCAGCAACCTCTCAGCATCTTTGCGTCCCATTTTACCAAAGTACCACCTGTCAAGCGAAAGAAAATACTTTAAATAACAGCCAAACCCACGGTTTAAGTGGTAACTGAGGATCTGACTGTTGAAAATCGCATATATCTGTGTGGTTATTGTAAGCCACGTGAGATGGGATCATGCTAGTGTTATTAGCCTCCATGTGCAGTCCCTGTAGACGGGGTAATGAGGTTATAACAAGGCCTTACTCTTCAGCCTGGATGGAGTCAGCAGGGGCCACGTAATTGCTGGGGATGTAGCCATTTCTCCCGGTATTGATGGAGCGAGCCTCCCACCAGTCTCCCTCTCTGCAGGAGGAAAAAGACACAGGAGAGATGAGACAAATGACTTTACATCCTGCTATGATTGATACTCTTGATGAAAAGTGGTTAATAAGGGATAATAATTAATAATTTGGTCTGAAAATTATCCTCACTTTAGGCAGCAGGGTTGCTTATGGTAACAATTAAAAAAGGTACAAAGCTTTTAATGTAATTTGTTCTGCATTCATTTAATTCTGCCGAATCAAATTTGGAGCTGTCTTTGAAGTATGAGGTAGGACTGAAAGCATCGTCACAATGGGGATTGAATGACTCTAATCTACTTTACATTACAATGCTATAACCTCAGGCGACGTTTCTGCCACAGCATGGATCAAATAAAAGATCCACAGCGCTGTGCAGAAAGCCAGCAACAGGAAACAAGTTGCAATCAAACGCATTCATGAATACAGAACAGGTGCAGTTTGGGGATTACTGCTGGAAAAAGAGACTTTTCATCACAACAACAGCTGCGGTACTTTCAAGGAAACGTATTTAAAGTAGAAGGGCACCTGCAAACCTTCGCAGAGGCCTTCGCTATCTTACAACGTAAATCAAAGAGGAAAATAAATGTTGTGTATCAACCTCATCTGCTTCAAAATGTAATGGGTTCTTCCCCGCATGTCATTCATCCTTTCCAACAAGGTTCATAAAATGGAGGTTTTTTAAATTCTGCTGACAATCAGACCCTAGAAACTGCACAGAAGCTTACGTATTGTTGATGATCTGGAATCGGTCTCCTTTTTTAAATGAAAGATCATCAGATGTCCTAGCTTCGTAGTCATACAAGGCCACAAAGAATGTAACACCACCTGAAATAAAACACAAAACAGACCGACATGTATTAACTGTAAACACATAATAGCAGACAGCAGAGTTAGTATGAAGCTTGAGAGGAACTGCAGGTAGGAAACAGAAGTGTTTGTTTGTGTGGGTGACTGTTTAAAGGGCAATCAAGGAAGCTAAATTCGTCTCGCCAAGGTCTGAGAGCGCATACTGTATTGATTTTCCTCGGTTTATAATAATATTGTATTTTCCCTGCATGGAAATATGACTGTGACTAAACTCAAGTCACAAGCCACAGGAGAGTCAGTATATAAACAGGTTTTTAATAGAAACCTCTGTCTAACAGTCATAATCTAGATTCCATTAGCAGTATTAAATGTGTAATAGTCAGTAGACATAGTTCTGTAAATTGGTATGCGTAAACTCATCTCTCCCTCCCATAGTGAACCTGTAAAACCTATACTATACAGCCACACCCCCACACAGATGACATTCATATCCCCACCGCGGACAACAATGCTGTCGACAATAATCCCATTATCTCTGCAGAAAGCTAACACCACGGCATGTGCCACCTTCGCTCCTCTCTGAGAGCAGATAATCCAACGTGGCGGAGGATTACAACCCAAATCCCGCCGAAACATCTCTTTACGCTTTGCATCGCTGTAAGCTGCTCAGACACATTTAGGGTGATCAGGGATGATAACAGGGTCCGTGTTAAATCTAACAAGGAAAAGCCAGTTAAAACAACAATGGCTGGGGCATTAGCCGTGACACCGACATGTCGGATCAGCATACTGACCACTTTAAGCTCAGGGTTAAGTATGTTTGTATGTTTTAACCCATTTACTGTAATACAAATGATGTGTACTTCATTACTGACTGTTCTCCTCAGCATAGTGTGTTTTATTATCTCAGTTAACATTATGCAGATTAGTCAGAAGAGTCTGACAATAAGCTTTCAAAACAAGACAAAATACGTTTTTTTAACCCAAGGTTTTGGACAGAATCATTGTGTTAGATCAGGGGATTTCAAATGTGGAGCCCTCAGGCAAAGACTGGAAAGAGCAAAGGTATTTAATCACAAGGCACTCAATAATCAAAGATAGCCTTATACTGCTGTTGGACATAACAATAGACTACACCAAATACTTTGAAAAGATTATGTCCTAAAGCATTTACTTAATTCTATCTCTGGAAAAGTAGGTACAAATATAATATTCACCAAAACTACTGTACCTCTGAACTATCTTTTTAACCAAATCACACTTTTAACTAATGTTATTTTCCTTTACTTCCATTCACTAAACCACCCTTGAAATCCCTGTGGAAAACATCCTCACACTTTGAAAACCTCTCTGCATGACAGAAAGCAGAAATGTCATCCAGCTCTAAAGCCGAAGCATTTATGAAAATGATGAAAAACAAGGTGGATTACACATCTGTAGCAACTCAAGTCTCTAAAATATGATTAATAATAATAATATATATAAAAAACATGGCATTAAAGATTGACTACCATATGGTATTATGGAAATACTACAGCAGAAAGCTGATTGAGGAATGCAAAGATTATGAGAAGATAAGAAAAATAGATTCAAAACCCGATGGTAAGCTTGACAGGAAATACGGTCAGCAGGAAAGCAAAGGGGCTACAACATCATGTATGCATAAGTGTGTCATTAAGCTCTCCATTAAGTCCATTATCAGCATTGTATGACCCTACTCACTTGAGACGGCGCCAGAGAACGAGTTGGACACAGGGCCGGTGAAGGACGCCCCTCCAAAGGGAGTCATGGCAGACGAGCCTCCAAACGGCATGAGGGTGTGGTTGAAGTTCCCAGTCCCAGGGCCTGAGGAGGGGGCTTGGTTCTGCTGCAGTTGGGTGGGGTCCGGTCCGTAGTGACCCACGTGAGGTGTGGTGATGGTGGAGTTGGGGTCTGACGCTGCGGAATTATCTGGCCGATACTTCATGGTAGGACCTTTGTCCTCTTTGCTCTTAATGCAGCCCATGGTCTCGCCCTGCCTGGACAGACACAACACAAATTCCTCTATTTCATTCCAGCAGATTGAAGAACATCACATTATCTCACTGTTGATACATATTAAATGACGGGCCAAGGGAGGTGAGGGATGAAATATTGCAACATAAGGTGCTTGCATGTGTCATGAAACAAAAATCAAATGACCTGATATTATTCTGTGAATCATTTTGTTGGTGTGACGTGCTAGGACCATAAGCCATGTGGTAACTGGGACATATGGGTTAAACAAATCCGCTTTCAACCACGCACCACTCAAACGTGTAGAGCACGCATGTTTAGGGTATGACAACCGCAAAGCAGAGGGATGAAAAGGCGATTATCATTCTATATTGTTTTGATCTATTACATGGCATTGTTGTTACATAAAGAGATCACTTGTTATTTGCATACAAGTGACAGATTAAAGCAAATGTAAAGCCTTTGTGTCTTGAAATAGAGAACATTAACCACTCTCTGTAATATTAAAGCTGTATTTTACATTGATGCCTTGTTGTGATTCAAATTGTCCCTTTCAGGGGCCCACAAGGAATTGCTAAAAAAAGCTTACTGCGAACAACACAAGGGGCCCAAGGGTTCAGGGCCAGAACAGTTTGACTTTCATATTTGTTGGTTGTAAAGTCTATCCAATGACATGCAAAATAACCATACAGATAATCAAAATGACTGCATGAGAACACACAATGACTACAAAGGTGAAAAGAATGTCCTTGACTTGACTGAAAAAAAAGAAAAGTGACCACAAAGAGATGTAAAATGACTAGAAAGAGATCCAACACAACTAAAAAGAAACGCAAAATGAATGCATGCAGATGCAAACCAACCACAATGACCAGAAATATATCAAAGAGATGTAAAAAGATCTAAAAAATAACACTACAAGCAACATCTCTGATTTGATTTTGTGTCTGAGGTTTGTGGTTCACCAGCAAAGAAATACAGAAACAGTCTGGGTGTCTTGCTCCTGTGTCGAACAATGGGGTGCCTTTTACACGTATGAACTATGAACCCAGGGGCCCATTGATGCTGACCATGCTACAAGATTTAAACTTCCGTGTGCCTCCATCTGCGTGATTGTCATTCCTCTTTCTAACGTAATTTGTCCGGAGTCCCACTGAGGCATTCTTTTGTGAGGTGAAAGCTCGGAAAATGTGGATGCAATCGGACACGCTCGTAAAGAAGTCTAAGCCCAGGGAGATCAGAACATTTTCATTCTCCAAGAACAACAGCTGCGCGAGGAGTTGGACTTGTTTAATTGGCGCCGACACATAACAGGACAGTAAAACAATAGACGATTGAATGGAAATTCGATCTTTTGTACAGTGATGTTGGGTGTGAAAGCAGACAATCAGACAAGGTACTGAACAGCCTTGTGGCACAGTTGTAGGCAGGAGTGACAAGATAACATGAATGTGAAATGGAATAGGATCAACTGATGCACCTTTCACTGATTTTGGAACAGTGGCCTTGATGTTTGGTGCTGGGAGGGATTTTATTCCCATCGGAAAAGAAGGAGGGGCGCATTCGAGAGTTCATTGAGTTCTCCAGATGAACTGCCAAAGAAATCAACGAAATGGGGACAAACCACAAAAGACTTCTAAGATTATCTTTGCTCAAATAAAAAAAGTACAAAACCGTTGAAATATTAGGTTTCGGCTCGTGCTGAGCACACGCCATTTTATGCGTGGTCAGTCACTTATCAAAAGAAAACAGATTTCTTAAAAATGTCTTCCAAAAAGGCTAATAAATCTAAGCTCAGATGTTAGATCGAGAGCCAATAAATTGAGAATGTTGGCATGGAAAACAGACGTTGCATTTTCAAGCCAGACAAAACCAGTGTCATGGAAAGCAGAGAGCTTCACTCAGTAGCTCATTCAACTACTGTGGGTTTGTGTTTCATCATCAGACGGACGAGAGTCTGGCTCGTTGGGTTAGCAGTGAACTAACCACGCTTTGAAACACTGGACAGAGTCCCAGAAATATTTGCAATATATAGATGGAATGATGTCCCTCCCAAAAATGAGACATGAACCGACCAAAATTAAAAATCGAATAGTGAGCTGAAAGTAAGGAGCCTTATGGCGCGTTTCCACTACAGCGCGGAGCACGGTTTAAGAGGGCTGTGACGTCAGCGGCCCGTCTTTGGTTGCGTTTCCACTTGGCCTAGTACCGGCCGGCGGGTCCTAATTCACAGTTTTTCTGGCCTCATAAAATCGCGGGTCTAGGGCCAGAGACAACGAGGCTGAGTCGGGCTGAGTATGCTAAACTAGAGAGAGCATCGCTGGCAAAGGGGCTACAACTACAACAAGATGGACATATTTGACCGTGATTTAATTGTAATACACGTTTCAAAATGATGCCGAAGTAACAACATACTGATACCGGTTAGTAAAAACCATGAATTAATGCTTTGTCAAGTCTGCAGACAGACGGCAGGGGAAAAACCTTTTAAAATGCTTGTTTTCTAAATGGAGATTGGCTAAGCTAACGCAGTATATGCTCCGACCGTCCACACTCACAACAACGGCCTATACAGACATAAATAAAGCAGCGACTGTATTCACCATGACACAGGCATTCTGTGGTTTGTACTTGTTTAACTTTTGTCTAGTTTCTGAACATACATATATGAGGAGCTGTGAGCTGTGAGCTCTGAGTGCTAACAGCTAACGGCTGTGTTGTTTTTCTGGGGTTCTCTGAAGATCACGTCACGGCTCCGCCTACACTGCGTTACTATAGATACTACCCCAGTTCCTAAACTGTAATGGAAATGCGCCATAAAGTGAGCCAGTCCTAACGAGGCCTAGCCATACCGAGCGGGGCCGAGCGAGGCCGTGTAGTGGAAACGCGCTTTTAAAGACAATACAACCCTTGGAAATCATACATACATTGTAATACACTGCTGTACAAGCATCTCTCCAAGCACCAGTCCACACTTCCTATTTTGATCTGTTCGGAAACTAGCCACCCTCCAGGTCCCGAAATCCTGACGCCCATGGCTTAGTATATGAAGATGGCTAAATACTGATGAAAATAAAATAAAAATCAACACTTATAGTCTTATACTGTGTAAAAATACAAATCATTTGCAGGGTAGGGCTGTTTTTGCTGTGGCAATGTCTGTCTGTTGGTTTGTAGGCTACTGCACACTACCTAACTGAAATGTCTTAACAGCTATGGGTTGCTGTGAAATATTCTACAAATATTAAAGATTCCTATACATTATAAATGCTAATCACTATGTTAATACACTTGTGCCATTACCAGGTCACGATTTGAATTTGACAAACACTCTGGTTTATGACCAAATACCTGGAGAATTTGGGTAAAGGCTTATTAGCAAATGTTAGCTTCGGCATCCTGTTAGCATAGTGATGCTAGTATTTAGCTCAAATCACCACAGTGCCTAAATACAGCCACAATGCACAAGCTGTACTCTTTTTATCATCAAACAGAACACTTTGAGTTATTTGGCTTTGGTTCAGTGTAAATAAGGAAGGAATTATAAAGCAACAAATGATGTTAGCAAAAGTGTTACTGTAGCTGCTAACAGAAGACCTAATCTGGACCTGTTCTGCAAGATTTACAAATGGTCTCAGAAACTCTTTAGCCCTTTCACAGAGCATTTTCTGCTTTATGTTTTTAGTTTTAAGCAGCATTAAAAATGATAGAAAATCCCAACAGAGGTAGAGCGCTGCTAGCTTATCTGTCAGCAGACAGGGTGTGTACTAACACACATGTTCCGTCTTCATATGATATATGAACTGCACTACACTACAAAGATAAAATGATATCTTCTGGAGGAGTGCACATAAAAACACAATATCCGAGCCAGACCATTCCCTCCTGATAAGCACAGCACTGCAAAGCAACAGAGTGATATAACATTCCCATTAGTGGCTGTGTGGGCATAAAGAAAATGGTTTAGATTGAGTCCAGGAGAGAAACTGAGGAGGGGAACAGCAGGTTGGTTGGATGAGGGAGGGAGGGGGAAACCAGGCAGACAGTGCCAGCTCTACCAGCTTGAACTAGGAGGATTATGAGGATGGAGGATTTACCCTAAGAGGATAATAACAGAAAACAACCAAACCACCAGGGCCTGGAGCTGAAACAGAGCCCACCCCAGATTCTAACCTGCACATGGTCATTTAGGCCTTTGATACATCACGTAATGACACCCTCGAGTTTGTCACACCAAAGTCAGAATACACAGTGGATGAGGTGAAAAATAATGCAACAAGAATATTGTAACTTGGATAGCATGTAAGGCCAATAAAGCTAGAAACGCCATTGAAAGGTGTCAGACAATTATCACACTCTGAATGTCAAACATCACTGACTTTTACATCCAAGTTTATACACTGAAAAGCTCATTCTTGAACAGCAGAGCCATTTACTAACAAACCAGAGGGAAAATCTGCCTTGCTGCTAATAATAGTAACATATTCTTAATGCTGACAACATCCCACTGCCCCCAGGATGATAACATGACCTACAACAGCCCATCGCATGAGCTGAGAAGAGAAGACTTTCAGTTGCACCAGTTAGAGCCACGCAGAAACAATAAGAGAGGAAGGTCAAGAGTTTAAATTAGGATGTTTACATGTCATCACATAATAGAATATACTGTGTACAGAGGCTACTTCCTCTATCTGGTTGGAAATGTGACAGAATCTGACAAGAAGTTCAATCGAAGCACTGATTTGAAACGGACTGTTCCAAATGATCCGCTAAAGGCTAAAATATCTCAGCCGATAAATTTGAAATCTTGATAACAAAGATGTGTATTCAATGCCACAGAAGTCTTTTCTTTAGAGAGAACTAGAGAAAAGAAAAAAAAGAAAACATAGTGTCGACCTTGGTAGAGAAACAGTTTTTTGGGCCATAGACTACAGATATCTTTGTTTAATAACTGAGATTGTCAGCTACTGTAGAACTGATATCTGCTGTGTCAGGCAAACAACAGTCCAAAGCCTAAATATATTCAGTATAAATATCATTTCTGACAAAGAAATAGCCTTGAGCGACTTATGGTTGCATCTTTGGATCCTTCTGAAATACGTTTATACAACCCACATGCTGCTATGTATTAAAAAGCTTCCAATGCAGCCAATTCATCCAAAACACATGTCTTGCAAGAACATTAAAACAACTAACGGTGTCCATATGTTCCCCTCCATGAACTTCAGAAGCTCTGTTGACCCTTAACCTCTCTTGTCTCTGCTTGTATCCACCTAGAACACACACAAGCCTAACTTTACATATTTCCCTGTTACAGTGATACGTTTAAACCTGCAGTCCTCTTATCACAAACCCTGCTTGCGGTTTCCTCCCCCTCTCCGATCCAAGTGTGAGAATTCCACCCAGGCTTCACAGAATGCTGATAAGACAGAGACTCACTCGCTGATAGCTGGAACGATGAGGAAGTTTGGTAGCTTGCAGGTCGTGGTTCAGAATTTTAAAGAAGGCTGCAGAGATGAAGTCTCGCTGAGTAAGCTGCGCAGGGTCATCTACAGTATATACGAGCAGTCAGAAACTAAGAGACGCCTATAGATTGAATTTACTTCAACAAAAGAGAGCTTTGTGTGATCAAATCGGAACGTAATCAGACTGAAAAGGTGCATTTGTAATCTTTCTTTCAGGCACTATAAATGTACTAAACCCTGACTTTAGAATATCTTATTTGCATCTCAGTTTGCCTAAACAGCCTCCCCTGGGGTTTAAGTTATCTAGACTCCGATGAAGTTGACATTTGGCCGGATGAAAGCCAAGTAGTGGAGCTAAAAGGTGGAGTTCCTTCATCCATCAGCCAGCAGCAGTGAAACCCTGCCCAGCATCCCCTCGGACAGCTGTTCGTGGGGGGGGGGGGGGGTCTCTGGAGCTTTACTGGCCTTCAGATCCGCAACATATGCTGCCTGCCACCATTGATCACATTCCTCTGATGCCAAAGGGTTAAAACTGTGGCTGCAGAAGAGTCATGTGATGGTCCGATGTGAAGCCGCAGAGTTTTTAAACAAACACCATCAAATTATTCAAACTGGGCGTAGTGTTCTTTTGCACATATGTTTAAAGTAAAATGACACTAGTGCCTCGGGAAAGAAAAACTAAATATGAAAAACAATGGAAATGAATGGAAGGACTTAAGAGTGCTTGACTATTGACAGATGTCTTTAGCACCAATACATCAGTCCTGGGTACAAATCTGTCACTCATTTTACCTAACTTGACAAACAGTACTCATTACTCAGTGGTCATAGAAAAGCTTTTTGTTGAGCTCATGTGAGTTATTGTGCTGCCACAGAACAGAGATCACACATTTTCTAGAATAAACAGGTCTTATGGGACTACCTGGCACCTGAGTGTAGGGTAAGTGTGAGCTATTTTGGGAGTCTCCGTGTGTCTACAACCATCTATTTGACAGCACATAACAGGGCTGGGTGTTTGAATTGTCAACATGTAATAAACTGGAAGAGGCTGTTGTCTCTGGAAAAATACAACCAACCCTCACTATTAAATATTGACAATATCCTCTTAAGAACATCATGTTTTACAAGACAAGCTCTTGCACATTTCTGGCTCCACTTTTCTCAAAAAATTAGTCAGTAACTTCTCTAAAGCTAGCGACACACAGAAAACATAATTTAGGGAGAGAAATCAGCTGCTGCATACAGATTAAATGGCAAACAGATCCCATTCACCGGATTCGAAATAGCTTAATACTGACCTTATTAAGTGTTTCAGGGATCTGCAATTACGTAAATAGTTTGTTTTGGTCAATGTCATTTTAAAAGGTCAATGTTTAGCTACCTCATGTTACATTAAAGGACAATAATATCAACAAGCTCAACATGATTTTAAATGTGTGAATAAAAGAGTCCTTCTATCAGATTAATACTTGGTATTTGTGGATATCTTGAGTTGATTTTTAAGATTGTGTATCAAGAGAGGGAAGTTTGCTATCAGCAAGACATCCTGAGGTGAGTTTTCCCATAAACAAACCTTCAGTAAAAAAGAAAAACATTAAGTATATAAACAGGAATTTCAATCTGCCTGAGCAAGTACTCATGCAGAAGTCCTATTCAATTTCCAATGGTTCCCCAGCACATATTCACAACACAAATCTTAGAAATCAGAGTCTTCCCCTTTACCTTCCTTCACTCCCAAGTGCACCAGTCCTTATATGGATTGCAGTGATTCAGTCACAGTTGTGCAGAGCTGTTCAGAATAAGCTGTATCCTGACATGTTCTCCAGTCATTTCAAGCATTTGAGTGTCACCATTCCCAAAAGTCCCTGCCCTCAGAGTGGAAGTGGAAGTAGAAGAATCAGAATCATAAGCCGATCAATCAGGAAGTTTGACTGACAGCATCATCCATAAATTGGACTGAACTTCTTCTTCCTCCTTAACCTGCTAATCATTAAACAATAATCTATATTAATATTGGGTTAGATATTTGAAATTAGATGGCATTTGTGCCTCTTGTTTCTGGAGCTAATTTGACTTTAAATGAATACAATAAGTGGGAAGAAAAGTGAGAGAATAGTCTACAGATTTGTATCTTTATATATATCTATTATCCATATATTTAACTTTTCAGTTATTTTCTCTATTTTGTGATGTTTATATTTCATGATTTCAACAACTATTTTCCCAATTATGTGCAATGCTGCTGTAAGGAAATCATTTCCCAATTATCTTATCTTTACATTTATGTATAAGAAAATACAGATTTCTTTTGGGGAGGTTAACCCTTTATTTTATTAGCATATTAAATGTGATAGGTCTGTTGAATTATTTATTATAGTGTGAAATATCTGTGCTATTCTGACCTTGTCCTACTTTAAAGTCTGCTATCCGATATGGTCGCATGAATATTCCTGAGGGACTTTAAGCACATGCTGCATCTTCACTGGTATTTGTCTAACCTCTGATCTGATTAATAATAAATGGCTCTAGGTTTGCAAGGAGGAATACAGTCTATAATACACCATACAGCCAGGTAGGCTATATGTGTGTGTGATTATCATAAGACACATTCATTCCTTTGTTGATGACAGGTCAGACAGGCGAGCAGCTGGCCCATCCTTACCTTATCCTGCTTACACTTTACTAAGGGTTTTTACCTTCACAAATCCACGTTCTTCTTCTTGTCTTTTCTCCTGTTTTCCCCTTCTCCTCCCGATCAGATCCGGGACAAAAAAAAAATCCGAGTTATTCCAAACGGGACCGACCCTTCCTCATCCTCACTTCATGCCTCCAGCAGAGAGGTCAGACTTAACGCTGAAGTGAAATCTGTGAGGATCCTCTGTCATTGTCATCACAGAGGATTAATCCAGCTGCAGCATTTACAAAAAAAAAAAAAGTGAGATCCTGAAGTGTCCCAGCTCTTTGTAGCTTCTACTTCCTTACTACTAAACTTGCATCAACCCCCACACAACAACATGGCCGACCCTGCCTGCGGGACTGGAGAGGCACACAGCTGGGAGATCGGTCCGGTACAGCTGCTCCCAGATCAGCAGGGAGAGGAGGCGATCACACGGAGGAGAAGAGGCCGAATAAAGAATCATTAAAGACGGGATAATGTGAGGGACGACAGGGCAGAGGAGCTGCAGAGTAGAGGATCAGGAAGGCTGGAAAAAGGGAGGACTCGCAGCGCCTCAATCTGTTCCATTCTCTGTCTCATGCACGGATCGATGGCGACCTCTGCTGGTGGACTGGTGTTACTGCAGCCACACATCTGCAGATCAGATGTATTGGCCACGAGGAACTAAACATTTGTTTTATTACTTACTTTTTTTAATGAACTTTGGTCAGCCTGTTTTATGTTTATATTTAATGTATTTTTTATTATTCTTTTTTATTTTATTGCTCAACTTTAATTGTATTCTTTATTTATTATGGTAGTATTTCTGAAATATGAACTTGAGACAATATTTGATGAATATAATATCCTGTTTGTTTGTACTTTTATTTCATTTTCCAATAGAACAAATATAAAATGCACATTTGTCCAAACATGTGAACACACAAGGAATTTTCATCTTGTTTTAAATGAATCTTATTTGACTTACACATAAAACAATTTACAGGAAATAGATATAAACATACAGCCAAAACAAAGACAACGAGTGGCCAAAATCTGATCAGCTCATTTTCAGACAGGTTGTTATATAGATGGATCAGGACAAAAAGAGAGAGAATCTTTTATCCTGAAACTTTCCAAATCTCTTGTAATGAAAAAGTGGATTTTGCATAATTTTTGTTGCCATATCTACACTGTAGCTTCTGTGCATATGACTATAAAGTATTTTAATCCTTTGTATTGTGTCTTGTAGTTTTGGTGTAAAGTGCTCTGTTGCGCTTTCCACAGGTGAAAGCTGGAACAGGTTATGTCCAGGCTGTGATGGGTCTGCAGCGATGTTTCCAGCACTCTCCCTAAATTGATCTAAATCACAATTCAGTGATGGACTGACAGACTGGATGATTGCAGCCTAAATTAAGACCAGCAGTTCCTCGTTTTCATCTCAGCTTTCATATGGACGCAAAACTTACACTAATGCAAAAATAAGTTGCTATAATAAAATAACCCTTCAGGAATATTACAATCATGGCCATAGATAGTGTGTGGTACCAATGCTTGCAGCTTCACTAGTCTATGTGCTTACCTTTAGTTTTTTTTTAACATTATATTACTTCTATGTTGATTTGTCCTTAACCTCCCTCCTTATGATCATCGAAACAGCACCACAAAAACACGTTATCATGTTAATATCACTTAGTTATAGTTCCATTAAGAAGCAACATGAATCATAAAAGACCATTTTATTGAATGTTTACTGTAATATGTTAAAAGTACAATATGCATCTTCTTGCATCTCTTTTACTGTAGCACTTCCGGACACACACATATATTGTTGTTAAGGCTGAGTGATAAAATACTTGAATCATGAGACAGTAACCTCAATAAAACTCTTTCAACACAACATGTCAACACCACCGGGCGCTATAAAAAGCTATTGCGCCAAAACTAGAATGAGTCATATGTTCTTATTTGGTGATATAAATCACACACACACACACACACACACACACACACACACACACACACACACACACACACACACACACACACACACACACACACACACACACACACACACACACACACACACACACACACACACACACACACTGGCTGCTGCTGTTTTCAGGCCCCTCTGTACAAACAGTAGCACATTTTCCTTTACTACAGCACATACATGTTATTGATGAGTTACTGTAAGGAGCTCTTTTTACATTTACTGGAATGTTTTTCAGTTTCATTAAATAACACAGATGTTATATCAACACAGAATTCAATGTCATTTGATATAAGTTTGGGCGAGTACACAATGACAGTAATATTCACCAGGAGATTACTGTAACACTGTCATGGTGGAAAGTTTATTACGATGTATTTGGCTATGATTGTTACAGGAAGGCACTCATGGTGTGGTGAGTCAGGGTTAGGGTTAGGACTGGATCAATATGTTTGCACTTGCAATGCAATTAGATGATGAGTAAGTGACATCCTTAATGCTTAAATATTGATAAAGCAGATTAAAAATGATCAAAACTGGTTGAGAAATACCTATTTTACTCGGATTATACAAAGACAACCCTGATATTATTCTGATTATGTGTTTATACTATAAATTAATTGAATGCCAAACTCATTTAAAGTCCAGAAAGCAAAAACGTGACATGCCGGCCTTTTTTTAACGGTAACGTGCAGTTTTTGCCTTTATAGGGGAACATCAAAATGTTATTTATACTGTTTTAACCTTTTGAAAACCATTGTCCCATAACCAATATTCTTAACACATACAGATAATTAAAGCTGAAGTGATTTTGCTCTATTTACCTTTTCTTTTGAATTGACTCAGTAATGTTAAATGGAAATAGATCTTATATCTTGTATAAGACTGTTTTCGAGGTCTATACATTACAGTAAACACCTCCAAATACTCCGTTGCACTTTTCTCTGGTTACCACTTGGGTGCAGTGCTTTCTCAGAGTAAAAGAAGATGTTCCGTTGCAGGACGCATTTTCCTCACATTCCTTCCCCTCTTCATATTAAGGATTCAAAGTGTTTCTCTGTGCTTGGCAAACCGTCACATGACGTCAGAGCCAGACGAAGATCGACCGGTCTGAATCGCCCACTAAAGATTCCACACATGATCCTGATACCTGTGTGTACCAAGCTGTAATGAACAGTGACTAATACAGAGAGTCATGAGAGCCTGCAGTATAGAAAAGGTCAATCATATATAATGTAAAGCAACCAAACTGTACCATTTTTAAAGTACTTATACTTCAGTTGAGTCTCCCTCAACTCCACTACATTTCAAAAGGTAATATTCTTATTTTACTTTCAGATTACAGTTTTTCTTTTTCCATACACGTTTGCTGGGGCCCCTTGTCATGTTTCAGATGTACTGTATGTGAGTTGTTGGTTTCATCAAATAGACATATCCCCTTTCAATTTCTCAATATGCTACAGATTTGGGTAGGGGCCAGCTGGGAATCGAACCAGGGTCTCTCATGTATGAACCCATGATGGCACCATAACGGCTCAAAATATGTACAATTATTTATGTTTTCCAGGCAAGCAGTTGCAAAAAAATCAGCATAAATGTATGTGGCCGACTTTTCGTTTTTTCCCCTAACTTCCATATCATCTCATGACCCCTCAGATTTGTCCTTTTGGAGAGACTTGACACCTATTGGGAAACAATGAGATAGGAAATCACCAGAATGAATCAGAAGCTCATTAATAAAAGTTCCTGGAACAAGATGACTCAGATTCAAGATCGACATTATATTGAAGTATCTGGTTATCATGCTGATTCTGACCTCTGACCTTTACAAATACCAAGAACAATTATAAACAGACCGAGATCTAAAAGCAGTGTCATATTTCAGCACTGGACAGCTCCACAATGCAAGAGTTACAAATATAATATAAACAGCTTTTTCTATAAAGTCCAATACAAAAAAAGCATGACGAAATGTTGTGATTTTTGAATGTTAAAACTGTATTAGATGAATGTATTAACTGATAACCTCTGAACAATACTTTAGTCATTGTTTGTGAAACTGACTTTAACAGAAGTAGAGGTGAAACATGTGAAAAATGACCCAAAATGTATCTGTAAATGAAGTCAACTCTTTGATGCCTTGGATAGAAACTTTTTGAAGCTGTCAGTCATATTTCAGCACTGGACAGCTCCCCCCCCCCCCCCCCCCCACACACACACACACACACACACACACACACACACACACACACACACACACACACACACACACACACACACACACACACACACACACACACACACACACACACACACACACACGTGATTCTACTGGCGTGACGTCAAAATGTTGACATTCATTCCCTTTTTAATTAATGATAATGTTTGAATCCAGGATCCATTTCTTTTTTATGACTTGGCTCGGGGTCTTTCATTGACGCGGGAGAAGGATGCACTCCAATGGGACGGGGTGGGGGGGTGCGATGACGCATCCGCACACCTCCCCTCTCCATCTCCATCTCCACCCCACCCAACCCCACCTACGTGACAAGTGAAAAAGGCATGCCTTTCCGATTCATGAATAAAAAACCAAGGGGGAGTTAAGTTCATAGGACGCAGGAAAGTTCTCCGCAGACAAATGTTTGGCGCTCTCCATGACCGAGTACACGTAGAAATCCCCGAGAACTGAGCTGCGGGCTGCACACTCGGAACAAGCACAAGACCGGAGAGGCGCTTCACTGGGGGAATAGAGGAAGAGGAGAGGAAGGGGGACAAAGAGAGAGAGAGATCCTATCTCACTCTCCAACTTGAGGTTCAGCGGATCGCAACTGGTAAGAGGAGACATTTTCTGGGCTTTTACGCAGCGTAAAAGCAGGGCGTGTGTGTGGAAAAAGTCAGGAGCGGCTGGATTTTTGCTTTTAAAACTAACTAGGTGTGGTGTTAAAGTAGCACTAACCTTAATGCATTCAATAATTGTTCCCATGAGTAGATGATTTTACACTTGTTCATTCACTTTATGTTTTTTCTTTTGCAGCAGGACAATGTCTAGTAAAGCGACTTTAGCCTTACTCATCTATGGAATCATAATGCATTACAGCGTCCACTGCTCACCTGTGGGGCTTAGCTTTCCAAGCGTTAGGTACGTACACCTCTATTTGTCTTTCAAGTGGCACTTTCCAGATGTTTATTACAATTTCTTGGCTTTGAAAGGAGGTCATTGTTGCCCTGAGCAGCAGGGCGCTGGCTAAAGAGCTGTTAGTTATGGATGTGGCTATAATAGCCTTTTGGATTACTGGATAACATCATCTGACAGCCGATCCATAATGCGCGGAAACATTCACCAGGGAGCCTCGTTGATGTGATTTAGGCTGCTGAGGAAGTGAAGCAGTGTCTCAATTTGTCCTGAAGCATTAATCGACCAATTTATGGGATGAGATAATTAATAGACAACGATTTTTTTGGAGAAGAAAAAAGCTCCTGATTTTAAGAGGAAATGCCTTTTTGAATATAAAAATAGATGTTAATGGAAAGTGTGACATGTCTGGAGGATAATTAAAGAACATATGACATAAAAAAAAGTCTGGGAAAAACACGTTTAACTATGAATGTTTATTACTGAAGTAGAATTTAATAACATTTCTCGTTTTTGCAGACTTGACAGTGAGGTGTATGATGAGGATGGGAACTCTTTACCGTCCCTGGATTACGACAGAGAGCAGATGGAGGTGAGGAGCCCTCCGTCTGCGGCGGACGACGTCTTCACTTTGTATTTCCCACCAGAGAAAAGGTGACTATTTATCCCCATTTTACACAAAAGTTTTTTTTTTTGTTTCGTCCCAATGTTGGAGACATCCATGTTGAACGTCTCATTACCGTAGTCCTATTTCTGTCCACTTATGTTGTGTTCTATGTGAATCAATGTAACGTCGAAATGTTGTCAGTAACACAATGATTATTATTTGTTTATCCCTTTGCCAAATTAGGCAATTAACTAAAATTCCTAATTGGACTTAAATCGACCAGATCTTTTTTTTTTTTGCAGAATTATTTTTAAATAAATGAAATATTTTGCCCAAATTGCAGGTTCCTCCAAATTTCAATGCAACTTAATCCGGATAAAGAGATAACCTTAAAAAGTAAAATAATATAAACCATACTGATGAGCTCAAGGCCCACTATTCAATTATTATAATAATAGTGTTAAGATTAGATTTTCTTACAGTACAGCTACTTGAAATTGTTGCCTCTCTCGCTGGGTGTGTGGTGATTTTACTGTGTGGCTATCTATCATCCAGAACGGAAAGGCATGCAGACGGCATGTTTAATAAAGCCTACAGGAAAGCGCTGGGTCAGTTATCAGCCAGGAAATATCTGCATTCTCTGATGGCAAAACGTGTAGGGTAAGAACATCTTCTGTCACCTCTTTTTTTAATACTGTTTCCTGTCTTGTGTGCGTTTTTTTGGTTTTCTTTGGATTGCCCCTTTAAATCCACGCTGTTACACGTACTGTATATGTCTGTGGTCCCATTATTTCCCAGCATGCAGCTAAATAATCCTCTGAATCAGACTTAGTAATGCAATAAGAGCTCAAACAGGCTGATTTGGAAAGTGTCGTTTTCTGCTGTGTTGTAAAGGCACAAGAATGAACCGGCACAGGTTTACATTTATTTCCATATGAATAATTTATAGGATGGAGTCCCAGTGGTTCCAGATGGAAGAGGGAGGAGGGGCAATTACTCAAGCCTTATGAGCAGGCCTATCACATCTTATTGCAGGTCGAATATATATTGTCCTGGGACAGTTAAACAAAGTGAGGATATTTCTGATGCTTTGTTGGATGCAAAGATTCAAAATGCAAGCACACATGATACATCCCTTTGTGTCCTGCAAAATCAGATTATTCCTGTAAAAGAAGGACACAGATTGTTTTCTCCACAAGCTGACAAAATCAGATTATTTCATTATTTGCCCTCTAAAATGGTGACACACGCTCTTCACCTCGGCTCCACATGCTGCACATTCAGTGTAGGGGTCGTGGGAGTATAAATGCCTCAACGTGATGATAGTGAAACCTCTTGTCTCTCACACAGCGGGGGGAAAACGCTGGACGACAGCTCAGAGCCTCTGTCCAAGCGACACTCAGACGGGATCTTCACAGACAGCTACAGCCGCTACCGGAAGCAAATGGCAGTCAAGAAATACCTGGCAGCAGTCCTGGGGAAAAGGTATAGACAGAGAGTTAGAAGCAAAGGACGTCGGTCGGTTTATTTGTAGCATCCTCACCCTCCCCTCCTGAAAAAAACAAAGAAAAAACTTAAGTGTGCAGCCCCACATGAAGTCATTTTGAGATCTGAACAATCAGTGGATCGCTTTTGTGTTCTTAAACATGTATTTATGTATGAAGTAAGCCATTAAAATGAATATTTTGATAATATATTGTTTTCTATTATGTACTTACAGCACTAAGGACACACATTACTACTTTGTGGACCAATTTTTTCTTCATTCTAAAACTAAAAAAAGAATAGCCTCTATTTATGTATTCATTGATTTAGACCTATTTTTGAGGGGAGACAATTGTTCCCGTGACGATGTGCTCCGAACAGCCCCTGTCTTTTAAACGTTTAGTGAAGAGATATATGATTGTGAGGAAAATAAATAGTTTAAAAGACAATCAATGTATTGAATGCTGCTTTTTGTAAAGTGACATTAAGAGTTTAGTTGTCTTTATTCACAACAGCCTTGAAGACATAGGTTTTCACCCAATCCTACAAGACATAGACTTTGACGCCCTCCCGGACGGGGATGAGTTTGAGGCTTTTTTGGGAGACTGGCTGAAACAGTTCTCTCCCGAATTTCCGGTGAGTTTCAGGCTCTTTCCCCGAGGCCGTAATCCTTGCAGGGGCTTCTCATGTCCCTTCCTTTTTCACCTTTAACCCCTCAAACATTCTTCCGCCTCATTTGTGCTCCTGTCTCTCTAGAGTCTCACAGATGTGTACCCTTAATCATCCCACCATGTGGAGGGACTTTGCTTACACTGATTGATACAAAGTTACAGATTTATGGAACAAAGACAATAATTCTTTTAGTAGACCTGGGTTAAACCAGATGTGAGCCCTGCTGGCACTTTACACTTTTAAGATATCCCTTTTTTCAATTCAAAATGGGATAATTTCAAATCTGAGATGAGGACCAGAGTACTTTTGAGGTTTTTCTTTCTTCCGCACTATTTACAGAGTGAGATCACACCTTTGACTCATGTACATTGCCAATCCTGTGTTTCTATCAACTGGTTTCTGCTGAAGATTGTCTCTCTGTCCATATAATAAGTATCACTAAATCAGGCACATTTGAAAAAAGCATAAAAAAAAGAAGAAATGATACTTGTTACATGGTCACTCATTCATCTATTTGCTCTTGAGAGACATACGAGGCAGTTTGAACTTTTGTGTTTGAACTTTCTGGGTCTATTGTGCTTCCTTTTCTGTCATGTGAACCAATGTAAAAAAAAAAGAAGAAAAAAAAGAAAACAGTAGATTGCATGATTAAAGTAATTGCACTAGCCACTGCATCTGTGCAGCCGACTCCAACTAGATGGTTTTGCTTGCTTTCTGACTACTGCAAACATACATACCTGTCATTTCTCAATGTCGTTTTGTGTTCTGTTCTCACATTTCTACACAAACTGTATGTCGAACTTGAAGAATGATCTGAATGTACTTACTGCCGGCAAGAATCCCTCAAATGTCATGATTTATCATTCTGTTACTAAACCAACTGATTTTGTTTTAAATTGTAATATACAATTTGAAGTGGTCTTTTTCTGTAGAACGCCACAAAGGCTGCCATGATTGACACCATTAGATTCAAAGAAAAGGAGAAAGACATCGAGGAAATAAAGAAAGCAACGATCATGCAACGACATGCTTATTTTTGAAAAGTTGAGGGAGAACAGTTTGTAAAATCTGCAGGATAAGACTCACACATTCCCCCCCTTCTTACCATATTTGTGAGGAAGGGCAGGGTCAAGTTATTAGATCTGTGTTTACTGTATCAATCTTTCTTTAATTTTGCATTCTCCTCTAGGCTTTGTGACGCAGGAAGCAGTTTGCGGCTGTGGTGCCTTGCATCGACTTTAAAATCGCCATTGAATCACAGATGGCTATTTAGTGGCCCTACAATGCTGCACATCATCAGCTTACATTTCACTCTTTTGTTGTTGTTTTTGTGTTGCACAGACGTTTGATAGAATCTTTAGAAGCCTCCAGCTTTAGACAACAAGCGTCCTCGCTTGCACTGCTTTCTTTTGCACTAGACGTAGATGTGAACATAGAGGGAAGAATCAGTTTCCCGCTCTCCATGAAACGTTATATGTATGATATTGAAAGCGCCAATAGCCTTACAAAAATGAAATAATCTTCAAAGATATATATATATATATTTATTGTGTAGAAAGTGAATATTAGATTACTACTTCAAATGGCGATCTGCAAGGGTCAATAAATGTCTAAAAAAATAAAGTGTTGTAAGATTTGTATGAATAAATTTTTGTAAACAACAAAAAATCCGTCTAATCTTTGAAGCCAATATCACCATAAGTCTGTAAGGTTAGACACATTTGGGAGGTTGAAAATGAGTAATAAAACCCAAACGTATTATATTACAATTATGAACATAGACCCTGCCTCAACAGGTCTGACAGGAAGTTTCATAAGAAAGGAAAGATGAACAAAACCAGCTTGTGGAAGTCACAGACGGGGGAAAAAAATCAAAAAGACCACATACCATTAGACAAAGCACACATACATGCTCACACACACTTAATTCATGCTGAAATACCCAAAATAAAAAAGTGTCTATCACTTTTTGGTCCTCTTCAGTGTGGGTGTTGAATGTTGTGGCTATGTGGATGATCAATAACTACAAGATGTTGCCAAATAAATAAGCAACAATGGAAAAAGTGGTGAAAAGAAGACCAAAAGATCCACATTTCTGCCCGAATTTCACGGTGACTCAGTGGCTTTTGGCGGAGGAACGGTGCGACCAGTTGGCTGTGTGTGCACCCCCTTTCGGGACAGCATGAGTAAGGAGACGTGGGAAGGATCACCCGGCTCGCTCCACACTCGGCCTCGCTGCACTTTACACCTCTCCGGGACTTCAGCAGTCGCCACCAAAGGCCTGCAGTACTGGTGGAACAGTTGGCCGCTCTCAACACTGGTACATTCACTTTGATGCCAACAACAACAATGTTCACGCGTGAAGCAAAAAGAGCTCAAACATGCAGAGACATTAGGGGAATGGATCCCCATGTAATGCCATATCTACCTTTTTATGTGCAGTCCTACATGAAATGATCTAGGGTTGCAGCTACTATGGGAAAAGACATCTCTCCACATCATAACCCATCACAAAATATACCTAATGAAGTTTAATTCACTCATGGTTATACAAGAGTTATATCAGATTTCATTTGAAGGTTTTAAGACGAGCTGTGCAGGCTGTGGTGCAGTGGATGGACCAATTAGTCAATTTATAGATGACTATAGAGAAAAGGTGTTATGATAAAAGATGATAAATAATCAATTAAGAAGCAAAAAATCCTCAATTTTTCTTGAATGAATATAGTTTTTAGTAATTTAATCCAATGATAAAGTTTAATATCTTTGAATTTGGGTTCACATTTCCGGGATTAAGATTTTTACATTTTGTTGACCCTTTGACATAATTAGTAAATACATTGAAAAATATCTCAACATTTAATCGATATTAAGAAATAATTGCTAGATGCAGTCCTACATTATGTTCATACATAAAATACAGCAACAGTAGAAGACGGTGACATAACAACTGCACCCTTTGTCTTCTATGTTTGCACCTCAGTAGACCGGAGGGCAGGTCTAATGAAGTCTGAGTGTCTTCCTAAAGCAAGAAGAGGCTTCTTGCACATTGTGGCTTGAGCCTTCAAAGGGTTTCCCTTTACAATCCCTGAGGTGCAGGAGAACACCTAATGAGATGCAAATTAAGTTTTGAAAAACAAACAGGTATTTAAAAAAAGTGGCAAACATGAGCTCAGAGAGAACAGGTCTGACACAAACTTAGGTTATCTGCTCATACAGAGCATCAGCCTCAGAACAAACATTAAAGCTTATATTGATTTTCAACCTTAGGCAGGAGCAGAATGGTAAATACGCACATTAAGGGGAAAATGCTATATAATCGCTGTTATTTAATAATAAAACATGATGTAACCCATCAGTCTCCCTCCTGTTGAGACCCAAGGGGAGTCCCACCGTGGGTGCAGCAGGTGGCATTTGCACTTGTGTCAATCCAAATTACATCCAATTACCTCAAATATACCCCTCCTATCTGATATTATCTGATAATAAGTCACCACAGAGGATTGCAGACGTGTCTGCACCTCCCTGCTCTCAGGACATGCCCTGAAATATCTTTAAAGGGCTTCAATTACATCCTCACTTTGAGTGTGAGCAGTTGCAGCATCACACTGCGTTGTGCGGTCGTCTATATATGGGATGTCAGACTGAGCCATCACAAAGTCTGCCGTGTCTCCCCCCCGCTCCCCTGCGTGCGTAATAGCCCCCTCTCAGACGTGATGACAGGGCTTTGATTTTGTGGCCCTGGTCTCAGCTCTCAGAGGAGTGCAGGGAGAACATGATCAATGGGAGTGATCCGATTCCTCCGGCCCGTGCCAGACCCTTTCTTAACCCGGATAACACAATCAGCCAGTGTTGCCAGGCAACCGGTCCCAGGAGGATGCGTTAGGAGCGGACGGGGCGGCGTGGCCTTCCCGGGCACCCAAAGATCACCCTGGATATATTTCACTCAAATTGCTTCAGTCTCAGCTACAGTACGTTGTCTTTTACTGGCTAGGCTGATATTTATGCTCAGGAAAATAGAGGTTGAGTAATAGGTAGTGATTCATGAAAGTGCACAGACATAACGAAAGAACACAGACACAAACACTTGAGCCAATGTTTTCACAAAATTACTCACACAGCACAGCGAGAGCCAAGAAATGTGTGACTGACTAAGAAGTGCTAAAGGTAAAAAGTATTCTACGATTATGGAAGAAACATTAATTGTACATATGAGCAAGACATTGAAAGTGGATCAACAAAATGTAATATCAAGACTTTGACAATTGAGATTACGAAATGAAACTGCAGTGCATTATAAGTAACCCAAAGATGTAGTCATAACAGACAAACATTTGAAAATGAAATGCTAAAAATTCACTCTTAATAGTTGCGGTTCTGGCTCGGTATCAAGGGACAACCGTACGTTTTTAAAATGGCGGCAGAGGAAGCCACAGCTGTTGTAGTTGTGCCACTAAAATCGCTGTAAGGTTCCATCTGGTTACAATTGTCAACAAACGCCCTATAACAAAGATTTTGAGGGCCAAAGAAGTCAAAGTATCCAGTGTTTACAAGAAAAAGCTACAACATTATTAGTCTGCAGCCATGCTAGCAGCTCTGTGTGGCTTTACATAGCACGGCATTTCGTGTTATTAGTCACGAAATTAATTTAATCTATTGATTCGTGTTCACCAACACGATTTTCACATTTTTTTCGTGTCACACAGAACGATTTTAAATGCAATGTATTTCTATTGGTAGTATGTTTCGTGCCTGCAACACGTCTTTTTGTCCGGTCGGGTCTTGGAAGACCAGAAGCTGTGTGGTTCATAAAAACATGTTCTTACTCAATATCTTACCCTAAGCCTAACCCTATCCCTTTTATTTTAAATTGTATAATGTCTGAGTTTTTTTGCCGTCAGTGAGGAAAAGAAATGGGGCTCAGAGCCTCAGAATACTGAAATCTGTATTTTATGTAATCTTTTTTTCCTTCTAATTTGTTATTATTTGGTGCAGGCACGAAACATACTACCAATAGAAATACATTGCTTCTAAAATCGTTCTGTGTCAGAATACTGAAATCTGTATTTTTTTAAATGTCTTTTTCCTTCTAATTTGTTATTATTTACATTGCTTTTAAAATCGTTCTGTGTGACACGAAAAAAATGGCGAAATCGTGTTGGTGAACACGAATCAATAGATTAATTTCGTGACTATAACACGAAATGCCGTGAGACTGTGTTGCCACATGTGCTTTAAGCTAAATGCTAACATCAGCATGCTAACGTGCTTACAGTAGCATTGCTAACATTCGGATGTTTAGCAGCTTTAAGTTTACCATGAACTATCTTAGTTTAGCCTAGATAAGCAAAGATAAAATAATAAATTATACTAGGAAGATGATATAAAGTGTATGGAGTCATTTTTCACACTGTTTCTATTTCAGTCAAATCTTACTTTGATGTTGTCAGCCCGTAATACTCAGACTGTCTTTCTTACACGATAGACTCGTACTCAACTCCACAATCCAAACCCGGAGCTTCAACCCAGGATCCCCCTGCTCCTCTGGGGGCCGTGTGAGTGACAGCTTTCTGGAGGGGGAATCCACATGAAACCCTTTCATCAGTGCCGCCTCCTGGGCCCAGCTTGACTGACTGCAGCACGGTGCAAAAGTTCAGCCATTATGAAAAGCTTTTGCTGTGGTGAAGTGTGTCATTGTTTTAATGTCAGACCTCTAGCTAAGGATCATTTTTCATGTGAGTGGACAGAATCGGACTTTCGGTCCTTCATCCTCAATCCGTCGAGGGTCTTTTTGTTTTCATGTGTGTAAACAGGATCTGAGGAATTTGGTTTGAGGTTTCAAGAAATGTATTTTTGTATTGGGATTGTAGAATTCATACTCATACAGTAAGAGAACAATTAGAACAATCCTACTCATGTTAAGGTGAGTCTGTGGAACATTATTCGCTAAATTCATCATAATTTGCATGATTGCTAAACATGTCTCAACAATTGATTCTTAGCAACTCAATAAAGTATGACTATTAAACTTTAGAAAGTACACCATTACTCCCTCTTCCACCAAATGAATAGCAATAAACCATAAACTTACTGTCACGGTGAGGAAAGGAAGGCAGGACCCAAATGCAAGACAAAACAGGGGAGGCAGGTATTGGAGTACAACAAAAGGCGAGCTTTAATTTATAAAAAGCTGAAGACTACGGAGCTGAGACACAGCAGGTGAAACCAATAAGACAATCAAGCAAGCACATGAGGCAAAACTCAGGAAGTCAAGTCAAGACACAAGGAGAACGGAATTTCAAAATAAAACAGGAAACTTTAAATGCACAATACTGAAATCATGAAACTTACTTAGAGAAACATGTTATCTTATTAGTGGTGATAGTAAACTAAACCTATTGTATTAGCCTTTCTTTTACTTTTTTCTGTATTCATGCCATTCAAAAACTAAGGAATTTAGCAAAACACATGCATTACATTCAATTAAATGGGGATTTCCAGTGAAAACTTCTTATAAATAACTTTTATTTCAAAAATATCTTCAAACGCTAATGATAT